TTCGATTTGCGTTTGAGCGAATTTGCACTTCTCTAAGTTGACTGTTAGGTGGAATTGACGAAGACGTTCGAAGACTTGCCGCAAGTGGGCTTTATGTTGCTCGACGCCTTCAGAAGCGATACACACATCATCGATGTATGCAAAAACGAAATCGAGTCCCTGAAACACTGCGTGCATTAACCTTTGGAACGTTTTTGCCGCGTTGCACAGGCCAAACGGCATATGTGTAAACTCGAATAACCTAAACGGAGTGGTAATCGCCGTTTTGTATATGTCGCCGGGTTCGATAGGGATCTGGTGGTACGCTCGATTGAGGTCTATCTTGCTGAACATGTCTTTCTGGTACAAAAAGTGAGTGAAGTCCTGTATGTGCGGCAGCGGATATCGATCCGGTACCGTTTGTGCATTCAAGGCTCGGTAACCACCGCATGGGCGCCATTCCCCGTTTGACATCCTTACCGGGTGTAGAGGCGAGGCGTACGAGCTTTTCGACGGGCGGCAGATTCCCAGTCTGCTAAGAAACTCAAACTCTTCTTTCACAGCTTTTAGTTTGTCGGGTGCGAGTCGTCTGGGTCGTGCAAACACTGGTGGACCTTTTGTCTCGATGCAGTGGGTCACCCCAGTCTGCGTTGACCATGGGGCTCGTGCATTAGGGTTCGTGATGTCACCAACTTCCCGAAGGTTTGCGATTTCGGTGGAGCTACTCTCTATTTCGTTGCTGCTCCGAAGCTGCAGATACCTGGTCGAGGTTTTGCTTTGTCTGTGCCTACCAGTGTCGAATTCCCGATGTCGATGATTAGGTTGAAATGCCGGAGGAAGTCGGCACCGATGATGGCGTACGACAGACTACGCCGTAGGTTTTAATGGTGGTCCCACTAGCGGCGAAAAGTGGGTTGCGTTCAGAATTTGACAAGCGGCATGCTCGAGTTGGTGGAACGACCCACACTTCTGCGCCGGTGTCGACCAAAAATAGTTGATATGACAATCGATCTAGTATAAAAAAACGTTTGGATTTAGTAAACTCAGAAAATTTTACCCCGAGTTCGCATTGGGATTGGTTGCTCGATGATGGTCTGCTGCCGGAACTGTCGAGCTTAGTCGTTAAGGCAGCGTTTAGTTTTTTGTTGGGTCTGACTATTTTGTGGGAAAATCGCATGGATTTCGGCATTTTTCAGCCTGAGTACCATATTGCCGGTGATACCAGCAGGTTGGTGATGTTCTGCGTTGGAGCTGCGATGTGGTGTGTGCGAGCGTTTAGCATTCACCAGTGAACGTTCGCGTTGTCGGCTGCGGTTTCAGGACATGAGCTGGCTCAACTTGCTGTTGATATTTTCGAGAACCGAGTCTTGCTTTTCGATTCGGTTTTCAAGCACAGTCGATTGGTAGGTGTTTCGATAGCGTTGACGAATGGCCCCCTGGTTGGTGCTGTTGCATTTGAGTCCCGACTTAGTGCGTCGAGGACCGC